GTTTCAGAGGAGGACAGTTTATAAGGAAACTAACTGAAGAACTTGTATCTTCCTGAATGCCCATGCCCCAAAGTAACTTACAAATTGGTTGTGTGGTTTTGTTAAAGTCAACCAAATTAGAGCTTTATGTGCACTCTTTCTTTAAAATGAAAAGAAAATTAGTACCTAGCCGGTGTGCTTAGAGCGTTGGCCCACAGACTGAACCGTCTTGGGATTGATTCTGGTCAAGGGCAAGTACCTTGGTTGCAGGCTCAATCCCAGGCCCTGGGTTGGGACATGTGTGGGAGGCAACCAATCTATGTATCTCTCTCACATTGATGTTTCTCTCTCTGTGTCTCTTCCCCTCCCACTCTCTAAAAAAATAATCAATGGAAAAAATTATCCTCAGGTGAGGATTAACAAGAAAAAACAAAAATGGTACCTCTGAGAGTATTAAATATCTGAGTTATTCACACAGTTTAAATAAGTGGGAGGTGGCCAAGGATGAGCATTGGCTTTTTCAAAACCTTCCCTAAGGCCAGTCAATGCCCATGGAGGAAAGGCCAGCTCCTGTACCTTCTCATTTAAAAGTAGTATTTGCAGTGGAACTGTGTTAATTAGGCCACCCTCCTTTTTTCCTATATGGAAAGTGCAACTAAGAGGACTCCAAAAGTTAGTGTGTACATAGGATAATACATGTCCATTTTCATAAGAAGTAAAATCCCTAATTAAGTTCTAATGACAAACAAAGATTTTCCACAAGGAGGGCAGTGCAAATGGTCAAGAGCTTGGATCCCATCCTATCTACACTAATAAAAGAGAAACATGGTAATTGGCGTACAACTGCTACCCTTCCCATTGGCTAATCAGCGAGATATGCAAATTAACTGTCAACCAAGATGGCGGCTGGCAGCCAGGCAGCTTGAAACTAACATGAGGCTTGCTTGCTTCAGTGACGGAGGATTACAACATTCCCTGACTGCTGCTGCAGGCCTCTGAGCTGCAACTATGTAACAAATATAGATGCTAAACAAAACCCTTGAATCCTGCTTTACTCAGGCCGGGGTTCAGCCAGCCGGATCGCAACATTGTAAGCAAAGGCCAGAAACCTACTTTCAGTAGTGGAGGCCTAAGAGCTGGAGCCAAGCCTCAAAGCTAAAGCTGGCCCAGAATTAAAAAAAAAAGAAAGAAAGAAAGAAAAAAGGAGAGGTTGGGAGCTTCAGACACCCGCCAGCCTGAAAACGGCCCTCAGCCCCTCACCCAGACTGGTCAGGCACCCCAGTGGGGACCCCCACCCTGAAAGGGCTGTGACCAGCTGCAAACC